AGAGTGGAAAATAGACTTCTACATAGGAAAGCTAAAATATGTTAATATTTTTAAATTAAAGGTTTAATATCAGAATGCAGTCCAAAGAGCAAATCACATTACATAATTACATTTTAATTAAATATAGAATATTCTACTGAATTGCAATTTATTAAATATTCTTATCCTCTTAAATAAAACTGCTCAGCAGTTAATCAGCAGTGAATCATCTTGCAGCTATGCAACTTAAAAAAAATACAGATTACCAATTTTAAGTGCTGCCAGCTAAAATAACTGTTTTAACGGGTATCTTTTGTTTGTTCTTTTCATGTAATTATTTTATTGTGCTTTGCATCTCCAGGCAGTTCTCTCAAATTTGGGTAAAATGTTCAGCAGGCTGTAAACTTAAGAAAAGGGTAAAATAAAATTTTCTGGAGTGAAACTTGGAATAATTTGAGGGAGATTTTATATACCTTAAAAAATTGTAATTTAATTGGGATGCCAGATTTATAACAATTTGCATCTTTAATTTTCCAGATAATCTGGAGGTTAGCATTTGATAAATGATTTTTTTTAAGTAGATATGAAGATTTTGTTAATTTATAATTTATTCATGTGTTATTACTGTAATTGAAAATGTTATAGACACTTTTAAATTCAGTTTGTATAGAAAGAAATGTGTTAAACAAAATTATGTTAATAAATATTCCCACATAATACATCTGAATGGTTAAAAATACTGGAAGAGTTGTCAGGGCTACAATAGTGAATGTCTTTTTTTTTTTTAATATCAAAAATATCGATAAGTAGGTTTTGTGTTTTCAACATAGGGAAAATGTTATCAGTGACTAGGTGGTGCACTTTACTTGGTATAATTGAAAGTTGCACAGTAAGTACTGTTTCCTTGTTTTAATCTTTCTTTACTCCTAATGTATTTAAGAATTTGCTGTTTTATTTAACGCTGCTACTCTTAATCTTCTCTAAACTTTTTCCCCTACTTTTTCTGGCTTCTGTTTCACATTTTTTAAAAGGGCAAGTACAGGAGCAACTGCTGCTACCCAGAAAAATTTGTGTATTATAAATAATTAAGAGTTTTTAATTGCTTTTTGTATGATTCCAGATCAGATAACATTTTCCCTGAAGTTATGCTGTGAAATGCCTTTTGTTATGCTGCAATTGCTAAAGGAATCCAAAACCTCCATTTTGACAGCTGAAGGCACAGTTTAATAGGTGCTTTTTAACTAGTTATGGAAAATATTCATCCCTTAACGAAACAATTCTTTTTCTGATTTTTTTCTGTTACCATGAAGTCTTAATTTGAATTCATTTTATTTCATGTTTTCGATTTTGTAAGCTTTCATACCCTCCTGCCCAGCCTCCTCAAGTAAAACCTCTTAGAATGTGAATAATTGATTCATTTTCTATTACTGGCATACTGTTGTGATGAGAATTGTTTTGTTGTCTTCCATTCTTAAAGGAAGAGATTTATTACAGCTGTGAGGATTAACTATATTCTCCTGGAAGTTGATTTTGTGATAGGTTAATGCAAAAGTCATTGCAAAAACTGCCATTACTTTTGCACCAATTTAATAGTTCCGTTGTTTACTTTCTAACCTATATTGGCTTAAATTCACTTTTTAGCCCCTCTTTGTCATAAGGTTCTGTGCTGCATTGCTACAATAGAAGCTCCTATGGTTTTAAAGAAAGTTCAGTGCTTGTCAGTGTCAAGTGCTACTTGATTATTATATTTGTCTGGAACAGTATTCACTTAAATCTGTTTATAGCAATCCCTTTTTTGACAAAATTTACAAAGTTGACATTTTTACTTTAAATTCAATCTCTGTCAGTGACTTCCTAAAAAGAACAACTTAGAAATTGAGGGAAAAAAATGTTTTTAAAGCCCAAATGTTCCAGTTTTTATTCAAAGTCAAAGTCGTTATTCTGGAAAATACAAGTAATATTCTATATAATGTCACTTAAAATATTTGTAAATTTATTATGCAAACACTGAATAGTATAAGTAAGATATAAAATCACAATAGATATTTAAATACTAAGCTGAAACTACTGACAACTAATTATTATGAGGGAGACAATAAAGATTGAAAGCCTAGGTTATCAAGTTGGTTTTAGCTTTCTAGAATCTTTGTAAATACTCATGTTCAAATAAGATCACACATGCATATGTAGAAAGCAATATGTTCTGAAAGTTCACTTTAGTGCCACTGTTTGTCCATAATGGATTTATTGCCAATTTTGAATCCTCACCTTACTTTGATCTGGCTTTTTTTTTTTTTCCCCCTTACCAGAATGTTTAGGAGAAAGTAAAATTATTCTGTTTTACTTTGGCTTTTTGCCAGAGATACAGACTAAGCATAGTCTTAATATGTGTTTTTCAGATCTGGTTACAAGACGGATTATAGATTGTGTTTTAAGAGCAGTGTTGTAATTGAAATATAAATAACGGCATAACTTTTTTTGTGTTAGCAAAAACAACATTAAAAAGGTTATGTTACATAATATGTAAGTTTTGGTTTCTTAGTGCAACTCTTATATTTCTTTTAAATGTTACGTAGTTATTTCAGTTTTCACTCTAGCTACTTTACTAAAATGTAGCCCCCAAATAGCCTCAGCATATCTGCCATATGTATTTCAAAGATTACAGTCTGAATGAGTTAATGAAAATGGCAGGTTCCTTTTCAAAGTTTGTTTGACTCACAGCCATATTGCTAAGTTTGGGTATAGTGACGTTAAAAACAGTCACTTAAATTAGTGTCTTATAGCAAGATATACTGACATTGTTTTAAATGAAAAAGACTGTAAATTCATTGTAAATATTACCTAACATAAGAGTGGAAGAGGGGAATTTTTTAAAAAATAAGCTATATTTGAACAAAGCATGAAACTCTTGTTTTAAAATTTAAGAATAATTGAATTTACCATCTAATTGACATCTGTACTGTGCATTGATAGTAATATCCAAATCATCTTATTCTTTCACTGAGGAAGTTCTCATATAAATCAAATTGCTGAGAACTATATAAAACTACATAGAGGTAAATGGTGCTTATTAAATATGAGTATAGTTTGTTACTTGCTGGAAGTCTTCTAGTTCATTTGGACCATTTTCTAACAATTTTGATTGATCCTGAGGTGAGCTCAGTATCTATTGGCAATGAGTGGTTAAATGTGAAGTGCCCTTGTTCAGTGTCCCTTGTTCTTGTACAGGTATTTTCTTAGTTTAAAAAAAAAAAAAAAATTCTAGCATGCGAACATTTGTCTTTGGCCTATTCCCTTTTTTCTGAAGTGTGTAACTTCTGATTTTTTCTTTGTTGTGTTGTGAATAACAGTAGTTAAATTCTCTGTTTTACTATCTACTTTTCTTTTCTCCCCAGATCTTTTCATTCTAAAACTAAATTGCTTGGTTTTCTTTAGAGGAAATTGCTACGTGGTGTGCTCATAGTGATTCATATTCAAGAATAGCTGATAAACCTTTCTAGGTAATAACTTATCCAAACAATACTTTGAGTATCATATTTTGTGAATGCCTTGCTTAAGCTAGGAAACTGAATATTCTTTTTAAATCATAGAATTCCTGTATTAAATGTGAAGCACACAGTCTCCAAAGTCACCTGATTCTCTGTGGAAAATGAAAGGCACTGAAGGAAACCAGATATGTTAATACTTAGTTTTAGTTGAAAATGCAACATTACTGTACTTAGAGCGGGGGTTGGTTTATTTTTAGATATTTAAGCTATCATTAATTTTAGACCAATGGCTAATAATAAGAGCGATTTTTGGTTGCTCGTTTATGGAGAGACAAAGAACAGCACGGCATAAACTTACATCACAGAAATAAATGAAAAAATTTAAGTGATAAAATTGTGTTTTCTATGAACCAGCATTGTATATGAACCAACATTGTGTTTCTTAGCTCTGACCTGAACAGTGAGGTACCTCAGGACCCCTAGACTTGGCACTAGAAATGACAGAGTTCTCCTGTTACTAAATTCTCATGCCTTCCTTTTCTGACGTAGTAGGTTGAAATTGGTGGGCACTGATGATTTATGTTTGATAAAGTTCTGCTTGTATCCTGTTACTGGTAATTCTGGTACCAAAATCTCAAAAGGTTTGATTATTAGTAGCATTTTGAGTACCTGTGTTCATATAATACAGTTAGCAGACCCTTATAGAAGTCAAAAGAGATTTTGGAATTTGGTGATATTGGTCTTTATAACACTAGCCTATTACATTTTCTTTCTTTATAATAACTGTTTATGTGAGTTTCATTGAAAATCATGGCTCTATTGCTTTATTCATGGTTTCCACAACTCTTTCTGTAACACCTTAATTTTCTCTCTTAGGTATTTTCCTGTTAAGTAAGATATCAAAAGCATCAATCACAAGACAGAGAAAATGTATTAGGAACAACTTGTATTAGTATATTCTAAACTGAAATGAAAAAGCTCATTATTCCTATTTTAATAAATAAAACTCCCAAATGATCTTGCTAAATTATCCCATTATTTAGAAGTAGAAAGTAAGAGTGCTTTCATGGAAATTTGTCATATTCTCCCTTCTATCTAGAAGTTGACAATAAATTGCACTAAAACTGAGAAATAGCTGAATGCTGAAAAATACCATGAATTCATGTTATGGCTTCTTTATTTTTGTATATCCATTCCCACAAATTGAATTTAAAATTATTAATGAAAATTCTATAATAAGTAATAATGCGTGTATTAGTACTGGGCAAAGAAGTCTTTCTTTGTTACATTAACCATTAGTAAAAGATGTACTTTGACATTTCTGATGTAAAACCTATATGTAAATGTTGTAATTGAAATATGATTGGACAGCTGTCAAGTTTTGGGGAGGGAAGCAGATGCCGGCGTTCTCTGCTGAAAAGACAAGATGGAACTTGACAGACCACAGCAGATGGAGCCGGAAGAGGAAAAGGCAGGCAGTGGACTCTGCCAGTATTATCTGTTCAAGATTGAAGAACTCCAGGGTCAACTGCAATATAAATTGGATGGGGGAAAGCCACAAGGAACAGTTCTGAACTCCAGGTGCATATGCAGCTGTTTTTGAATGATAAGACCCTAAACCTTTGGAGGCAGCAGGTGCACAGGAATGAACTAAATACTAAAGTGTGCCGATTTCAGGAGGAGCTACAGCTGCTGCAGGAACAGGACTCCTATGTCGGGGAAGTAGTCCAGGCCATGGATAAGAAGAAAGTGTTGGTCAAGGTGCATCCCAAGAACAAGTTTGTCGTAGATGTGGACAAAAATATCAGCATCAGTGACGTGACACCCAGTTCCCTGGTGGTTCTAAGAAATGACAGCTACACTTTGTACAAGATCCTACCCAACAAGGTGGACTCCTTGGTGTCACTGATGATGGTGAAGAAAGCACCAGATTCGACTTATAAATTGATTGGTAGACTGGATAGGCAGATCAAGGAGATCAAAGAAGTGATCGACCTGCCTGCTAAGCATCCCCAGCTCTTCAAAGTACTGGGCATTGCACAGCCCAAGGGAGTGCTGCTTGGAAGACACTGTTGGCCTGGGCCCTGGCTTATCATAGGGACTGTACCTTTATTCATATCTCTGGCTCTGAATTGGTACAGAAATTAATTGGGGAATTTCTGTGATGGCAGAGAAAATCCTCATCTGTCATCTTCACGGATGAAATCGACTTGATTGGCACCTCATAGCTGGAGGGGGTTGCTGGAGGGACCAGTGAAGTGCAGCAGACAATGCTTCGAGGATGGCTTTGAGGGTACCAGGAGTATCACGGTTTATCACGGCTACTAATACGATTGATATCCTGTACTCGGCACTGCTTTGCCCAGGGCACATTGACAGAAAAATTGAGTTCCCACCCCGCAATGAGGAGGCCTGACTGCACACTTTCAACTCTTTCAAGATTCATTCTCAGAAATCAACCTGACCCAGGGGATCAACCTGAGAAAAATTGCTGAGCTTATGTCAGGAGCATCGGGCTGGAGTGAAGGGCATGTGCACAGAAACCGGCCTGTATGCTCTGAGTTAACAGTGAGTCCATGTCACTCAGAAGGACTTTGAGATAGTACAAAGTCCTGCCTCATGCCAAAGGACAGTGAGGAAAAACATGTCCATCAAGAAACTATGGAATTGAGTGGACATCTTTTGTGTGTATCCCTACAGTAAAACTCAGTGGAACAAGAAAAAAAAAAAAAAGAAAAAGTTTTGGGAAGGGATGATCTGCTAGTGTATAATCAACTTTTAAAATTTAGCTTGTATTTAGTAACATTTCATTATGTTTTGAAAAAAAGAGTAAAAAATCTTTTGAAGCACAATTTTCATGATGTAAAAGATACTGAGTTTCCTAGCGTAAGAACATGAGTTCTGGAAACAGTCTTAGGGACACTGGGCAAGATAGAGCACCCCTCCCCCCTCACCGCCAACCAACTTTGTTTGTAAAAAGAGATAATACTGCCTACATCAGGGTTGGTGTGAGGATTAGTTAGAAAAGTACATGTATGTAAGCACCAGACACATAGTAAGCACTTAATGTTAGTGGCTAGTGTAAACTAACATATTTGTGCCCACTTATGAATAATTTTAGTATTCTCTCCAGTCATGAGGTGTAGTAGTAATATCTAAGACCTTAACTGAAGTGTTTAAAGAAACTTAGGTATAATAGAGAACATCATGGGTGCTAATTTACACTCTCACTAAAACCCAGTGATTTTACTATATCAGCTACCATAAAGCACTACTTGATTCTGTAGATTATATGGACCAAGAACGTAGAAATGAGATAGCCGATCTCTAGGAACTGGATTTTTAGTGGGTAAAGCAAGCAAGCATGTAATAGAGAACAATAAAAGCTCTGATAGACATATGTACAAGGTGGTGTAGAGGTACAAAGGAAAATTAGACTAGACAAGAGAGTGATTAAACTTAAGTACTTAAGAACAAATAGATCATAGTTCTAGGGGACGTGGAACATGCAAAGTGGAAAGTTTGGGAAGAGTATTCCCAAGGCAAAAAACTTAGCACGTACAAACATAGGAGGAAAGTGAGACACTCTTAAAGAGTTGCTGTGCTTTGGGAAGCGGACGGATCACGAGATGAAGAGACTGAGACCATTCCGGCCAACACAGTGAAACCCTGTCTCTACTAAAAATGCAAAAAGTAGCTGGCGTGGTGGTGCGCGCCTATAGTCCATCTACTCGGGAGGCTGAGGTAGGAGAATTGCTTGAACAATTCTCCTGGTGTAGAGGTGGAGATTGCAGTGAGCTGAGATTGCGCCACTGCACTCTATCCTAGCAACAGAGGGAGACTGTCTCAAAAAAACCCAAAATGTTATGTTGGCCAGGCACGGTGGCACACACCTGTAATCCTAGCACTTTGGGAGGCCAAGGCGGGGTGGATCACTACCTGAGGCCAGGAGTTTGAGACCAGCCTGGCCAACATGACGAAACCCCAGCTCTACTAAAAATACAAAAATTAGCCAGTGCAGTAGTGTGCACCTGTAGTCCCAGCTACTTGGAAGGCTGAGGCATGAGCCCAGGAGGCGGAGGTTGCAGTAAGCTGGGATCGTCCCACTGCACTCTAGCCTGGGCAATAGAGTGAGACTCTGTCTCCAAAAATAAAAAAAGAAGAAAGTTGCTATGTCTGGAGAGGTAAACAGGTGATAAATCATGAAGAGATTTATGTCTTAAACTATAATTGAAGGATTTGAAACAGGAAAAAGAATCACATTTATACTTACGAGAGGTATGAGACTGGAGGCAGAGAGACGTGTTAGAACATTTATACTAATTCAGGCAAGATGATGAGGGGCAGAACTAAAGCAATGAAAATAGGGAAAGCAAGTGCAGAAGAACAGAACAGATTTAGAGAGCAGAATTGACCCATCTGGGACAAGTTCTAGTTGTCCATTCTGTTGCCAGTGCTGCAGAGTCCAGAGGCAGCACAGTGCTTCATTTGGTGAGGGAGTTCACAAGAGAAAACCAAACTAGCTTTTTTAACAGACCCATTTGTGAGAACTGACCTAGTCCCTTGATAATAACCATTAATCCATGCATAGATTAATCCATTTTTGGAGACATAGATAGCCCTCATAATCCAATCACCACTTAAAGGCCCTACCTCTTAATATTGATACATTAGGAATTAAGTTTTAACACAAATTTCAGTGGGGGCAAACATTCAGATCATAGCAGTGTCTATTAGGGTGTAGGAGGTATCTCTACCCAAATGTTTAGGGTGTCAGTAAGTATGTGATAAGTGGGATTGTTGAGCTAGTTTAACGACGTCTAGGTTGGTTGGGTTGGACTTTTCCTCATGTCCCCTCCCTGCTTAGCTCTAGCTGCCTATTGGAATGTAGCCATGCTTTTCCTGGGTTTGCTTAGTGAAATGCTGAGATGCACTCTGAAGCATTCTTGAGGTTTTCCCTTTGGTTCATTTGTCCCATACTCTTTCCATTATGCCAGTCTTCTCAGATCTTCACAACACAAGTAAATCTGTTGGAAGCAAGATCTTGTAGAAGTAGACATATAGGAAAAATAGAGCCTGCTGTCCTGATGGATGCTGCTGTTAAAATAGGTTGGGTTGGCCTAGGTAAGAGGAGGACCAGAAGAGATTTATGATTTCTTGGAAGGCTATGAGTTGCTGCTGGCCCCATCATAATCTTTGTTTAGCAAAAGTTGGGAAATGAATATTGGTACACTTACATTCCTTGGAAGAGCAGCAGAAACCTTGGGATATCCTTGTGGGTCAAGGAGACAACTCTCCTCATGGATTCCCTAATTTGATACAGCATACTCATGGAAACGCCAATTCAAGTTTTCACAAGTTTCTCTTAAAGTTCACTTACGATTTCCTAGACCAAGAAGTCCTACAATGCAAGGCCTGTGAAAATGTTGTAAACTTAATACCTGACAGGGAGATATTCAAAGATGTCAAAGCCCCTGTTTTTATAAATATTTCCACATGGTTTAAGATTTGCCTTCCCACATAAAATGAGTAAAAATAACAATAATTTTTCTGCAATACCTTAATGATGCTGTAATTATAAAGCAGGGTTTTAAAATTCTGCCATGTAGTGCCTTATTTTTATAGTAATGTTTTCTATGAACCTTTGAATTTAATGTGTATTAAGAGATTTAAAGAGTATGTAACTAAAAAATATCTTTCCAACAGAGTCACCTTGAGATTTAATGCTTTCCAATTGGCTTGATCATTTGGTGGCAAGATAACTAGTTGGGTAACTGAACATAGACTATACAGTGTTAGCAAATACAAATTTATATTTCAGAAAAATATCAAATAACTGTATATCATCAAAGCCTGTATGCATCTTTCAAGGTAACACGTTAACACTTGGAATATTATTAAATCTGTAAATACTAAGGATATTATCTAAATAGATGATATCCATCAAACGATATATAAAGTTCATCTGTTGTTGGAAATCAAATGTTGCAAAGGCCAAAGGTATTTAATATCCAAACCATTGTTTTAGCATATATTTAATAATATAAAAACTCTAAAGTGATATATTGCATTTTTTTTTTTCAGTCTTTGAAATCTGGTTGTGTTTTACGCTTACAGCACATCTCTATTCAGGACTATAGCCACTTTTTAAGTTGTCAAGAGTTGTATGTGACCAGTGGCTACTGTGCTGGCAGCACAGGTCCAGATGACTCTGGGAGGCTTTTCTACTCCTATCTGTCCTTACCTGAATATTTCTGAAGGCCTTCTAATTCCAACTTCATGAAGACTCTTGGGTCTTTTTCAAAGTTTATTTAACTGCTGCACATGAGCAGAACTTGTCCTAAATTATTACTAAATTGAGGCAGTTTCCTCATTTTTAAATGAAAGAGCTGGAAATATCTTTAAAAGGTTGAGGGTCTAATGAATCGTCTTCATGTACATTCATAGATAGCATTGGCTTTCATTGTGATTATGGTTTTTGGTGAGGGCACATGAGCTTTGAACACCTAGTTAGTGTTTTAGTTAGGAAGTGCAGTTTATGAGGCTTTGGCCAAATAATCATCCAGGAATTGTGAGTGATGCTGGTGAATAGTTCTAGTCAGATTTGTCCCTTGTGTTGAGTTCTATGGAGGACATTTTCATGGGTTTCAGACCTTACAGCTAATAGTTGGCTTCCTGCCTACGTCAGTGCTTAAACTGTCAAACTTGTCCACCAAACCCTCAATTCATAAAGCTGACTCTTCAAAATCCAGCATAAGAGGCACCAGTAGTCAAGTCTAATTTTCAGTAAGATATTCCCTAGTTTGCCTAGAGATTCTGTGCTCAGATGCCATGTTGAATGGAGTCAGCAGGCAGGTGTTGGCAGGGAGGTTGTCTATGAGGTTGGCATACACAGTGGGAAGACAGACGTTACATATGTCTTCTTTGGGATCCCCATAAGCCACTGGTTCTCAATACTTACCTAAACAATAGGTCAACTCAGGGAGGAAAGACATATAGAGGCATCTGTTTAAATATATTAAGGTCTTGACCTCACCCCAGAGATTCTGAGTTAATCTAGTGTGATTCTGTTGTATAGTCAGTGTACAACCTATCAAAGGTTTTCTCATACACCTCAAAAATAGGGGTGAACCTATGAAGAGGAAAGGGTGCCAAGAATGTCTCAGACCTCTGCAACTAAGCTGTAGCTATATTCCTTTCAATTTTCTTTCCTACTTGATCAAACTCTTAACTCTTTTTGGATGAGAAAACTGCTCTGGCATCATTATGCATTCTACCCAAATCTAGTTGATAGGACAATGTCTAATTCAGCCAGGCTCCGATCCTTAATTTTCACAAAGAATTTGTAGATTCTCAAAAGCTCTTTTTACTTCCAGAATGGCTCTGACAAATCAAAAGCCTTTGGCTTCCAGACACTTCTCTTCCTTTGGATTTAAAGAACTTGACTTTGACATTCAAAATAATACCTTTGATTTGTCCTCATTTTCTCTCCCTCCTGAAGCAGTGACCATCAATGAGTCATTGAATAAAATGCCATGAGCAACTAGGAACATGAACTAGGAATGAAAAACGTTCAAAAATAGTATTCTGCTGCACTCACATCAATCGATAGAAAGCTATTGAAACCTAAATACATAACTCTAGTCTGATTTTCATTCTTAGAGTTATGTGGTGATCTTCAGAAGTCTTCTCTCCCTGAAGAAGAATGTGTATAGGAGTTACTTGCACTAGAATGCAGGCACTATAATTCATTCATTTAGCACATATGGTTGGTTGTGTTGGTTCATTTAGCACGTATTTCTTGAACATTTGATAGATGAAAAACACTGGGTGAGACACCACATATACA